AAAAAAAAAAGATAAGGAAAGAAACAAAGAAATAAGAGAGAGAACGAATGGATACGTGTTACGTAGACATATGTATGTAATAGAAAAAGAAAAAAGGAAAAAGCGCTCGACGATAATATTTATGATTATGGCTTATTACTATGAAATTTTTTTTCTCTTGTTTTTTTTTTTTTTTTTTTTTGTATATATGTATTATATATATATATATATATATATATATATATATATATATATATGTACTGACTTGTTTCACCAGTGGTGACGGTCACCGGGGCACTTGGGGGACCACGGCCTATGTGGTTCACGGCTATCACATAAAGCTCGTACTCGGTGTAAGGGCTAAGACCTCTGACGTGGTAATACATCGTTGTGATACCGGAAATCTCGGTGAACGGCTGATTAGCCTGTTTAGGCTTGTGTTGGATTACGTAGTATTGCAACTCGTCCGGTCCCTTGTAAGACCAGCTCAGTTTGACGGATGTTGCAGTTATGTCGGACACTTGAATGTTTTCAGGTGGACCAGGAAGTGCTAAAGAAAACATTTCAAATCGAGAAATATTAGACAATAATATTTAAAGCGACTAGTATAACGTTAAATAAAATAAACAAATTATTTAACTATTAATTTTTTAAATAATCTGAATGAATTATTCAAATGAGATCATTCGTCATTAGATTTTTTTTGTATAAATATCTAATAATCAAATAGTTTAATGATTCTATTAGAAACATTATCTATATATATACATATATGTGTGTGTATGTGTGTGTGTGTATGTATCTTTCCATTCTCTATATATCAATCTGTCTATCTATCTATCTTTCTATCTATCTCTAAAATGAGAGACGAATAGAGAGAAGTACGAATCCTCGGATCTTAAGCCGATCAATTAGTTGTTAGAAATAGACGTCAGTGTTATAGTAACGTAAGGACGCATTGCCACCATGATGGATGAGATTTACATTAGGCGATCCATAATAAGCATGAAGTGGTGATGGGGTTGAAAATGGGGAGGTAGTGAGAGGATGAGGGTGGGTGTTGAAGTAAGGAAGAAAGTACGAGATTACTCGCACGAAGGTTGGTGGAATTTTAAAGTGACGTTAAGCGTTAGTTATAATGATATATATATATACACACACACACACACACACACACACGTAATCGTTATATTTTAATATTCAACATTATTTACGCACATTGAACTTTCACCATAGAAGTAGCGTGTATTACACCAATTGGACTGGACGCCGTGCAAGTATAATTAGCTGATTCTTGTATGTCCGTAAGATAGAGAACATTTTTTCCAACTGGTAGATTGTCGTCGGGTGTTATGTCAGTAGCTGGATATTTTCGCCATTGTACAACCGGCATAGGTGCACCAACAGCAACGCAGTTCAAATTCAATGATGCTCCTAGCGTGACCTCGCTCAGAGTTGGCGGTGGTATCGAGAAGCTCGGGGCAACGCGACGAACTAAAAGCAGAATACATTTTTAATCAACCGTCAACAGACTCACTAACTCACTCACTCATTCACTCACTCATTCACTCTCTCTCTCTCTCTCTCTCTCTCTCTCTCTTTCTCTTTAACCATTGTTGAATATCGTTTGTGTTATTTTCAACCGTGCTTTTGTATTTTCATTCCTCCTCTTCTTTTTTTTTACCCCTTCTCCCCATCCCGTTTTTTTCTTTCTTTCTTTTTTCCGTTTTTTTCCTGTTTCTCGTCCGACGTATTTGTTTTTTTTTTTTCAAGCTATTCGAGCAGTTGTGAATCTTTTATTCGCATAGCTAAAAGAATCTTGTAACGCGACAAATAAAGGGGTTGAAAAGTTTATGAGATCGTTGTATATATACATACATATATACATACATATATATATACCATGTGGAAGGATTGGTACGAGGAGAATTGAAAAAAAATTGAATCCCCATACCCTGTCCCTTCGTCCTTCAACCAACCCCTTTACTTCCTCCGTCACGGCTTCGAAAATCTTTTTATCGTATCTTTTTGTCACGCACTCGTTTAGTCATCGCAACGTTTTAATTACCCTTTCGTTTACGTTAATACTAATTACCGTGGTACAAATGAACGACTTTGTTAGAGGTAGCAACGCTAGATTGATTTATTTCAATCGACTTCTTTTTCCTAATCATAATGGATTCGTTAAAGAGACATAGGATCTCGTTTGTTCACGAGCCTTGTGAAAAGAACATCGAATTCGATTTATACAAGAGTGAATTTCGTAATCTGTCTCTGTTGCAATAATGTATTCCAATATAATCACAGTATATATGTAGCTACATATGTACGTACAAATCCTTTCTCTTTTCTATATATATATATATATATATATTACATATATATATTGTATAAATGTATACATATGTACCTTTAACGTATAGCAGAGTTGATTTCGAATATTCCGTGCCAACAGAATTGTTCGCCACGCATTCGTATTTTGCCTGGTCGCTACTGATAGAGTTTGTGATTTGCAATGTACCTGAAACAGCAAAGGACAAAAAATTATTTAATAATAATAATAATAAAATATTAACAATAATAACAACAATGAAAAAAGATCCTTCGATATATATATATACATGTATTTAATATCATTAAAAATTTCATTATACCGATTATAATAATAAACAATAGCCAATTATCAGAATTAAATGTTAAGAAATTTATCGAAAATATTATATATATAAATATATATACGTTTCATTGTTCCATTGATATTAATGACGATGAGCTCTGTTTATATAAGAGTTTTCACCCTCTAAACGAATATACGTCTGTATTCAAACTGACTTATGAACCCCTTTTACTTCGTTTTTCCCAACCTTAATAGAGTTCCTACCGTGCTGAGAAGAGGCGTGGAGGATTTTCCCTATGGCTTGTTGTTGTGTGTATGTGAAAGAGAGAGAGAGAGAGAGAGAGAGAGAGAGAGAGAGAGAGAGAGAGAGAGAGAGAGAGAGAGAGAGAGAGAGAGAGAGAGACCAAGATAGAAAGAGAGAAACCGAAAGAGAGAGAAAGAGGAAGAGAGACAGAGACTAGCAAACATTAACCCTCCATATCCTCATCACCCTCGGCCAGTTCGTGCAAGGTTTCGACGATGCATCAACCCCTTAGCACGATACCGCTGCAATGATGAACTGGCTGTTGCGAGGCGTGTGATTATCTTCGCCGACGTCACTCCTCCGGTATAATTTAACTCCCAACGAAAGTTTGCAAGCTATACTACTACTACTGCTACTACTACTACTACTACTACTATTCCCTCTTCTGTACTTCCTCTTCACGCTTTTGCGTCTCCACTCCTTCACTTTCTCCCTTCTTCCCTTCGTTCCCAACCTAATCCCTATCACCCTATCTCTTTCCTTTTAACGAGGATGGCGAAAGATAGACAGAAAGAGAGAGAGAGAGAGAGAGAGAGAGAGAGAGAGAGAGAGAGAGAGAGAGACGACGGCTTGAGTAAACAATGCACGAGGTTTCCTTTCTCTCTGTCGAATGAGAGAGGGAGGGAAAGCATACTACACTTGATTGTTAATAGACTAAACGTCTCGTTTCATCATTGAACGTAGAAAATATTAATCGACTATAATACGAACGGATATTATTTTCAAATGATTATCATAGTATGGTTTATCATTATAAGCTTGCTGAATCGATATAAAATCAAAATCATTTTTACGAATGCATGACTTTCTTCTTTCTTTCTTTTTTATTACTATCGGATATCGTAAGTAATCATTTTATTTTTCAAGATACGCTCTATAATTTAAAATACGCCTTTACGAGAGAGAGAGAGAGAGAGAGAGAGAGAGAGAGAGAAAAAGGAGTAATAGGTTATCAAAAAGGCAAAAGGTGAATCTTAACGAGATCTTCTACTAGTTCTTCAAGAAACGAAATTTGCGATGTGAACTCGACGAGGATTGTTCTCTCTCTTTTTCTCTCTCTAGATTATATCGTATGCAAAGACACACACAGAGAAAGAGAGAGAGAGAGAGAGAGAGAGAGAGAGACAGAGAGAAGAACGTGCTCGACAAGAACGTTAGATATATTTCCTAATGGAAGGTCTGCTTTCGGTAGTACAATCAACGGTAGAATCGAACCTGCAATCAACGTAGTCAGATAATAGTACTGGTACCTACCCTATTCGGGTTGCTTAATTTCAACGTGCTACGAGAAATGGACCCACCCATTTTAACATCGTCAATTTCGTAAGTTCCTAAACCCTGTAGAACGGGGCCCGTGCTATTTTTGGCTATTTTTTTTTGTCTTTCTCTCTCTCTCTCTCTCTCTCTCTCTCTGTCTCTCTCTTTACAAAGTTCATGGAAGAGAGGAGAAACGATGGTGGTAAGGGGATGAGGGACAGTGGAGGAGATTGGTGGTGAGGAACAGTTCTGGGGGGATTGCTGAAGGGTCGCAAAGGGTAGAAAACACTCCATCACAGGGAGCAAAGAGGTAGGCACTACCTGGTGGTCTGATATCTTCTACGATCGGAATACGTAATCGTGGCTCATCTACAATTTCTAGTAAAACAAGTAGGAAGGAGAACGCGTGCGGCCATACATACCGTTATATCTTTCTTCGGGTCACGTGCCCATTGTTAGCACTAGTACTCGTCGAAAAAGTTATTCTCTCTCTCTCTCTCTCTCTCTCTCTCTCTCTCTCTCTCTCTATCTCTCTCTCTCACTCTCTCACTCTTTTTTTTCTCTCTTACTTTTTCTCATTCACTCTCACTCGTACTTTCTCAAAGACGCTACGAGAAAAAGCCGGAAGCTGTTTCTTCCTTCTCCTTTTTTTCCTCCCTCCTCCTCCTCCTACTCCTCCTTCTTCCTCTACTTCTTCTACTTTTTTTGTTTGTTTGTTTGTTTTTCTCTTTTTTTCTTTTTTTTTTTTCTTTTTTTTTTTTTGGTTTTTTCTTTCATTCTCGAACGAATGAATGCACGACTGAACGAAAATGTAAGTCAGTCGCAAAAAATATACGTATGTACTCTTTCTCTTTTTCTTTTCTTTGTTCGTTTGTTCTGTTTTTTTTTTTCCCCTCTTTCTTTCTTTCCTCTTCTCTTCATCTCCTTTCACGACTTCTTTTCTTCCTCTCTCTCTTTTTTTTTTTTTTTCTTTTTTTTTTCTATCAAGCGATAACGCGACCAACTTGTCGAATTTTTTTCTCTTCTTATATCCTTTCTCTTTTCTTTTTTCTCCTTCCGGTTTCTTTCTCTTTTTTTTTTTTTGCATAGCAACAAGCAAACTAAACGCATAGAAAAAAATGTAACATTAACTTTTGTAACTTTTTGTAACTCGTTTTTAAGGAAAGTTTTGAAGATCTCTATGAGAATACATTCAACTTTCGTACGGATAAGTTGCATACGTATATTCTATAAAAAATAGAATAGTAAGTTGTGAAGTAAGATATATATATATATATATTTATATATAAGACATATTATAAGTATAATGGTTAAAAGATAAACTTATAACTTATAAAACTTACGATTGACGAACGATTAACTTCGGCAAGTTAAGTAATGCGAATTTAAAGTAAGACGTGGGAAATATTTCCGTCTACGATGCTTGTTATGAATTTTACATGATCGACGCACGCGAGAACATATTTTCACGAAAACGTTCAGAAACGAACAGACAGTTTCGAATATATATATATATATAGATAAAAGATGAAAGGTTTGACGTTACCCTGCTGACGAAAGTCTGAAGTAACAAGATACGTTAAAACGTTTCGAAATAAGCAAACGAAAGATAAGGGGAAAAAAAAAAAAAAAGAAAAAAAAGAAAAGAAAGAAATACAAAAAATAAAAAGAACGAATATTCGTTAATGAGAGAGCTGCTATTATCATTAAGGAAGATAGAAGCTTTTCCTTTGTTCTCTTTTTTCTCATATCAGAGAAACGAGTGACAAAAAAATATTATTACATTTTTATCTCCTACTTCTCGTAAAAATAGAGTGATCATTTTTTATATAACTCGAATCACTAAATCGACTAGTAAGAGCGAGAGGAATGAGTTTGATAGATTAGTATTCTCTCTCTCTCTCTCTCTCTCTCTCTCTCTTCCTCTCTATCACTATCTCTGTCTCTGTCTCTCTTTCTCGTATTTGCTCGAACAAAGTCTCGAGGGGACGAATAAGTAAAAGTATCCTCTACGATGGAATGCCTTTAATGTAAACATAATAAACATATTCTATCGAGATCAAGTATAACATTCGTAGTATAGTACCAGTACTAACCATTACTTTTACTATTACTAATATTACTAGTACTAATATTACTATTATTACTATAATATATTTGCACGTATGAATTTACTTTTCTACGAAACTTAGTTTTTCCATCGTACGAATGTAATAATAACTATGATTCTACCAAGACTCATTATCGGCAAAGCTTGTTTCATTTTTTTTTTTCTTTTCTCTCTCATGTTCGCAAAATACGATTCTCTCGCCTCTACTACACTTCCACCCTTCTCCCGCTTCCCATCCCCATCTCCATTCGCTCTCTATAAATCCCATTCTACCAGGTGGCTTGATGCCATTTGTGAAAAACGTTTCTATCTATACTAACGTGGCGTAGCGTAGCGTACCTATCGGCAAACCGTAGAAACGCGTCGCAACTATATTTCGCTTTTGCTCCGGTATAATATTAAATATAAGGAAAGATATTTCAATATTGATTCACAAATACGATGTAGCTGGAAAACGTGTACGGAGTAAGAGTGTATATGAAAGGGAAAGAGAGAGAGAGAGAGAGAGAGAGAGTTCTCCTGTCGTTTCAACTTCCTCTTTCCTCTTTTTCTCTCTTACTAGAACGCATTCTCTAACCCAACCAAGAGACGTCCTATAAATATGTATACGTATTTATGCCTGGCACATGCCCGCATATAGCCTGTCTCCTTCGGCACGCTTCGAAGAAAACCTCTTCGTCTTTTTCTTCTACCATACTTTATTTTCAAACGACCTTTTACCTAGGTATACACGAATTCTTCTTCTTCTTCTTCTTTTTCTTTTTCTTTTTCTTTTCCATCGCGTGCGTACGCGCGAGTGAGTGAGAGAGAGAGAGAGAGAGAGAGAGAGAGAGAGAGAGAGAGAGAGAGAGAGAGAGAGAGAAAAAGATTAAGATAAAAAGAGAAAATTTCTTTACGACAATTTTCAAAGACAATATAAATCTTATCTTTAATTTACGATATATATATATATGTTATATATATGTATTATACTTTAATTTATATATTATAATAATTTGATATATTTTTATCGAATATCGTGTAAAGATAAAAAAAGATATTCCAATGACGAATCGACAGATGTATGATACCATCCAATAAAAAAAAAAAAATATATATATATATATATTTTAATAATCCTATATAAAATATTTGTCAGACTCTATCGTTGAATCTTCGTTAGACACGTTAAATCACCCACGGATAATTTTAATTTTTCTTTTTCAACATTAATACACGAGACAATTCGCGTAT